TATCCACAAGATCAATTCTTCACTGTCTCGGTATATTTTAAGAAAGTTTATTTCACATGCTCATATTCTGAAATCTATACCTAAAAGCTGAATATATGTAGATAAGAAAACTGCCCAGTTCACTAATTGGTTTTCGAAGATAAATCCATTAATCTTAGTTCAGCTTGATGGCGATGTTTCCGGGATTCCATGGGAACCACTAAACATCCTTTAGTCAAGCAGAACTAAAACGAAAGTATTCATATTTCAAGAGATAACATTAACGAGTTCTTTCCTTAATTTGCTTAAAACAAAATGATCGGGGATACTAAAAGCTTCAGTTCTACATAATGAATTATTGAGGCATGTCAAGTACGTTAACAGTTTGGCACACATGAATACATTGCCGTAGACATGTATTAGAAATAGTATTCTAGAAATGAATAAGGCCCGACCATTTGATATTCTGGGGTGGGATGGGAGAGCCGGAGATTTTATCGAAGAAAGGAAATTGTTCCAGATAAGGCTTGAAAGGAGATTGTCTGAGCCAAAAGATACATTGTTGCAAGATATTTTTATTATCATCTAGGGTTATAATTTTAATTTAAAAAATATACATGCATCTGGTTTTGAAGCTGCAGCTGAAATAATATCCAGCCTCCATACAAAATCCCCCGCATCCCCTATGAATGTCAAATTATCATTCTCTAATAAATCTCAGAAAGTTCAAATTTGCCTCGATGAATAAGACTATTCCATGAAATATATAAAATGTCACAGCCCTTGTGAAACTAAAATTTTATTGTGTGGTAGTTGACAATTGCGACCCAAATGGTAGAATGTAACTCATTTGACTTTATTCGCATTGTCAAAACGCGGACAAAAGGTGAAACAAACTCATTTCTCGAATTTGTTATTTTTACGTAAAATGCTTTTAAACGTTGATCTTTCTAATTTTAAATACCACACAACTTCAGCCAGAATGTATATATTTTATACCATTGTTTTACATTTTTCATTTTTCAATAATCAGAAACAATATCCGAGATTTGTTAGTGTTAACCATCAGTGCACCAGGGGAATATTATGGATGAAAATGTTTCAGCAGTTGCAAAACTTGGATCAGATCGGATCTAATCAGTTACACCATCTCTCCACCAAACACATCAGGGCATAGAAATCCACAAACAGCACGCTTCCTGCAACAAAGGCGCCAGATTAATGATCAAACAATCCAAACCATTGCCATCGAAGATACACAAATACCAAAACATAATTAATTATAAGTAAAACATCTTAAATTATTCCCAGAAGCATATTTCCCATGCCCTAATTATCCGCCTGTTATTCGTCGATTAAATAAAACACAGCTTTCAAAAGGGTGAGCGTTAAGTATCACACCGGGATAAAGGTTTACTCAATTAACGATGTTCCCAGGAAATATCGAGTTTGGAACTGCCGTTTGCGTTACCAAAGCTCCTTAATCAATGCCTAATGAAATTCAAATGATCGGTTTGGACGAGAATAAGGGTTTAAAAGCTTGCTAATGGAGCAGTAACGTTGTATTAAAACAAGATAAACGCTTCAATGGGGAAATGTTTAACACCCGAGATGCCTAGTCTGTCGATGTGGGTGCCCCGACTGATGCTAGTCAATCCCCCCCTCCATCCCCCAATACTTAGCCCTTGGCGAGGAGCCTCGACCGCCCAACTCCAAAGGGATCTAGAAAAAAATCGAAAATGATATTTTGTGTGAAGTGGATTCTATTTTATTGCTAAATCCCCTGAACGGCTCAAGCTGGGCGAAATAAACCCAATAGTAAAAGACAGGGGGAAAATTAAGCGATTACTAAAGCTTGTCCCACTATAATCTGGTGAAGTGCCACTATACTTAAAGAACATCGCGCTGTGTTTGATAAAACATATCGATAAAAGACCAAGTGCAATTAATCTGGTCATAAATGGCGCCAGGCCTCCGCCGTAGTGTCGGAGAGAAGAACCACGTCGCGAGCATGTAGCGTCAACCCTTACCCGGATCAATGGCTGCGTTTGCGACTCAACTTAGCTCCGATTACAGAGAGATTCCGTTCAATACTAATCGTCATACACACGATAAGCTCTTAAATTAAGCGCTTACAACATTGTTACAAGCAATATATTGACTCTAAAGGCCTATAACATGATTACTTCTTTAGCCACAAGCGTGATGTCCGCTGTAGCGTTATCGTCATTGTGGGTCCTTGTGAAGGATGCACTGTGGTGGAAAGTGTTCAAATAATGTTTGATTCAGATGTGAATGTGTTAAAATAGACCTGAATATTCTGCTGATCGAGTGGTTGATTAATTGAAAATACGACGCAAATCCTCGACGTTACATCCTCTTCTGATAGATCCAAAAAACTATTTATCCTGTAGAATAATTGATACATTTATAGATGAATAAAACTTAATACATAGAATTCTTCTTAAGTGAAGTACAATAAGTGTCATTTTTATGTTAAATTATTCTGCCGCATGATTAATATGTTTATCTTAAAATATCAAATATAGGCTCTGTGGTGTTGCAAAGACTGTTCTCTTGACGTCATAATGGTAAAGAATGGAGGACATGTAAAAAGACGTTCATTTCACTGAAACATGAATGGGTAAAAAACGGGATCGGCGAGATATGAATAGATTTCAATTTGTCCCCATTACTGTGTTGAAACAAGACGCGGCATGAGGAAATGTTAACATAATAGTGACAATAACATGGGATCTCTCTCCATATCCTACACCATTCCTACAAGACCTTTGCAAACACGTTGTCCGTAAGCCACAAGCAAATAACTACACGAGATGCACGTGCATTGATCGGCGTGCGCAAGAGCGGAAGCGCACAATAAAGTCCGCCTCGAGGCAGGAACACCGGATTAAATAGCCCCGTGCGACGAAGCAAAAATTAGAATGTATCGACTCTTGATAATCAATACTTGAATGTAAGAAAACTATAAAGTATTGTTGCCGTATAATTGTGCAATTTCAATACACGAGTAGCATGTATTGAGTGAAAAGGACCACTGGCGTTCAGAAGAGAGCACTTTCTACACTAAGTGGTAATTAAAACTTAATTTGCGGCAAGTGCTTGTTTGCTCGCCGAACAACTCAATGGACAGTTTGATTTTCAATTCACAAGTTCATGAGAAAGCAATCGTGTGGTTTTGTCTTCTACTGATAATAGATTTTAAGACTTTTTGGTCCAAACAAAAGAATATTGTTGGGATGGCAATCTTTTATAAGATAAGAGTGGGTTTAAAGCAGATACGTACGACGGGAACACGTTCCCACGGAAGTGCTTCTAATGTAGTACCGCAGACAGGAAGTGACGTCAAAAGCACACTCAAGTACGCACTGTACTACATGGTGACAGGTATAATTGATTCGCACAGAAAAGGATTATTGCGTTAAAGCACAAAAAACTCTAAGGGAAATTAAATGAACAGTAACGATTCTATCTCATACCTAATATTAAACCTATCGTTATAAAAGGGTAAACATATTATCTGAGACTTGTTTCATATAGATTTGATTTCGTTGAAGTCGTTTTCCTTAGATGGAATGTTGCTTTAACGCTCTCTTCCCGTGTTACCAAAGAAGTGCACTATGTACTTAATTTCAATAATTGTTCATATCGCTGATAAGTTCTTAAAACATGTCTCCTTCACATTTAAGGGTACTTTTAAAACGCGACGTTGTTTACAAAAGCCGTACTTCATTGCACTGCATCGTCTGAATTAGTTTGGACTCGTGAGACTGAAACACTTTTACGTTTTCTTTGTAATATAAAGACAAAACATTCTTGGATTGGGTACATCAATAATTTGATTCCAAGAATTAGTGTAATGCCTAATAGAATTTATCCAATACCAATTTCAGCCCTAACATCAGCTGGCCAAAGTATTTTTGCAGAGTGTTATAAGCATTAAATCCACCAGAAACCGAAGACCTTAAACGGATCAACGCGCGACAATCAATTCTTTCAAGTCGTGGTTGATGCGCTGTGCGTCCAGTTTAGTGTGTGATCTGGTAGGTCCAAACCCCAACATATGTTGAGTTCCCTGACCCTATCGCCTCGTTATAGTTATCCTAAACCCAATCCAATAATTCCTTTGCGCGTAAAACGGCCAAGCGGCACGCGCGAGGTGCGTAATCTCATCATCGAGATCTCGCGGTGACGAGATTTGACGAGATTACAACCTGGCTAGTATCCGTACGGTGGGTTATCTTTGCTTTTAAACTTGAACCAGTAAGTCAATAGCGATATCAACCACTCACGACGGAGCATGTCGCCTTACTTTGAGATGCAGCAATTAGCCATGACGGCCAATTCTTCAAAGACTTGTACTGGTTCGGCCAGATCGTGTTGTCTTTACTGCGTCGTATCTAAGGTCGTTAAAGTGTATTAAGTCCCGTTATCTGACGTGATTAAAAAGTCATAACGGGACTGATTTCCTTATACAAATTCAATTTCAAAAGATTAGCTGTAACCAACACAGCCTCGTTGGATTGATGATTCGTTACGTAAATAACCGATGCTCACAGTTGGGTACAAATTCATGAGTGCCCTTCTTTTTTATATCATTAGTTGATAAGGACAATACCGCTCCATGCTAAAACACAACTGCTAAATTAAACGTATTTGAGTGTTTGCGAATCAAGACTCAACGACCTTTGCTTTCGACAAATTAGGATTTACAGTTCATATATGTCCCAGCTGACGAGAAGTACAATAAATAGCCGACGTATTTCGTATTGATATGCTAGTTCACATCCACTCGTGTCGGATAATCCCCTTGTACAAACACAAACACACAACAACACATGGCACCTTAAAACATTAAGGTTAACGTTAAACTAACAGCATCAAGGATTTGTCTGTATTTAAATTGTTTTTGCGCCATTTTTTCTTTTGTATATTCCGAAAGACATTTTCGTTCAAATGACGTTGAGTGACGTTAAGCACGTATCTTTTGTATATTGCAGGTGCCCGCCCGCTGAGCTGGCCTGGGTCAGAGGCTGGTACGCCCCAGGGGGTGGGGGAAGCACAAAAGTTACCCCCGTCAGACCCTGCCTTACCAGCACCCTGGTACAACGACAACCTCTGCCAAACCCGACACATGGATGTCCCGTGGTTCGTGCGTCCCGCCGGAGGTACGGCTGACTTGAGGCTTGCCCGTGGAGGTGGGTCAGGTATAGGGGAGGACGCCGAGCAAATAAACAACGAGCTAGACACACCTGAAAAAAAACCCGGGGGACAGACGCCTGGGACATGCTCAGCCGATGATAAAGACGGGAAAGAAGAAGTAAGTAAACTGGAAGTTAGTGATCGAGCGACGGAAAAAGAAGATGAACAATCCCTTAACTGCTCTGTGACGTCAGTCGATGACGCTGATGATGACGACACATTGAAAGATGACGTCAAAGATCACGTGACTGATGACGATAGTAAGGACGGGTGTGACAAGCTCGGCAGTGACTGTGGGGACCCTGAGGGTGATAGAGAGAAGGAATTAGAGGAGTTTGGGAAGAGAAAACAGCGAAGATACCGTACAACGTTCACTAGTTATCAGCTGGAGGAACTAGAACGGGCCTTCCAGAAGACTCACTACCCGGATGTATTCACAAGGTTAGTCACGCACTTTTTGCTTTTGACGTCACTTCCTGTCTGCGGTACTGCATAGTTATTCCGTCGTTTCTTCAGTGCAACTTAAGGAACGATAAAAAAAAATTGTACATAATTTTTACAGCTTTTCCCAAGGAATATTGGCAGACAGACAGATTTATATTTCATATATATGGCCATGAGGCCAATAGTACAATAACCTTTTGATGTAGGAACATTTGTCGTGAACACCACTTGTATACTGAATCTAAATAGATATTCATATTTTGATTATTATGAACATTCAATGTATCATCCTAATTTAAATAACTTATTTAATAAGAGATATATATGAAAGAAAATCCATTTAACTTGTCCCTCTTCAATAGGTTAGTCAAGGTATTGCCACTAATCGACAATCACTGATGCACTTTTATCGTAATTATCCGGTTTATAACTGAACCATTTTCCGTGATGGTACACACTGTTACTGTTAAGATGTTTAAAACAATTTAGGACGGAAATTATTCACTAAAACACGTGAAAAAACATAAACTGCCAGGAATACGAAGTATGCTCTTAAAAATTTAATTTGACCGAAACTTACAAACATTATCAAAACGTTACTAGGCTGAAAATAGTCGCAGGAACACTGCACACGTAAGGTCTAAAAACATAACTATGATACCCGCATCAACTGCATCACTATCGAATAACCATTTCCTGTTTGTTTCATATTTAGCGACCGTCAACCAATGTGCATACTTTCTTAGCCCGGTAGCTTATATTGCAAAGAACGCCGACGTTAGATGTACTAAACGTTGATCTTATCTCCTGAATTCAAAAGCCCTCTCTGCAAAAGGTGTTACGCTAATTATATTATTAGGACATCGTGTTATACACATCGACAAGATACACATTCTATTTATCTGAGAAACTTGTAACTACATCATTATAACACACATTAAGCATAAATAATTCAGGTGTAATAAAAGAATTGTAAATGTCAAAATTGAAAGGTGATATAAATTTAATTGAAAAAGGAAAATAATCATTGACATACAGCTGACATACAAAGTGTTTACGTACATCGATGTTTTCATAATTCCATTTTAAAACGTAAACGTTACGAAGAATGCGTATGTGCTTCGCCCAAATGGCCAAGGTTGTCAATGCTTACACAAAAATCATTGGTAAAAATTAGACATCCGACCAGAGATTCCTCCAATAGTTCTAATGACTGCAAATCGCGTTATTCGTCCTTGTTTGACACACCTGTGCTTTTTACCCCGTTTTTTCTCAAAATGTTCTTAATTGACAAAATTGGAACACAAAGGTTTAGGAGTAAGGCATGCCGCATGAGTCAGTAATGCAAAGCTTCTGTAATGGGAGACCTTCGCCACTGCGTCTTCGAACCTTTCGTCAAATCGGCAAGAAAGCACCAAATATTGTATCAACTTCATTTCAACATGGCCTTCTTGCTTGTTGGATGCCTTAACGCGACCTTTCGCCGACTCTAACAAATTTTCACTCTCGCGAGATGTTTGCTCCTGGTTTTAAGCCTAGGGTGATCCTGCTAGAAGCGTTTATCTTCAAATACTTCATTGCCCTCAATAAACAGGATATAGCCCTACGCCGAATCTTCTCAAACTTAGCCAGTAAACAATACTTGCTAACTTGTGTGAAAAATCTGACCGTGTCACTCAAATCAAATTATACATGCGCGGATAAAAGAAATTCGTATTTGATGGCGAGAGATGCAAGTTGTAGTTATTCGACAAATAGACGAGAAATTCAAATTTACTTCCCTTGGACGCCCGTGAGATGCCGAGCTACGTCTGGCGACTTTAAATATTATTTGTGGATTATGACTGAAGATAGCAAGGTGAGTTTTTCACCTGTCTTTACTTGATCAGAGAGCTTTCATCCCCGCCGATGAATTTCACACCTGACAATACCGACAGCAACACCACGCTATATCCGGACGGGAGAAAATCAAATCTTGGAGTTAGCGTTTATGTGAAACGCGTCATCTGACCGCTTCCTATTATTTCGCTGTTGACCACTTAAATGACTCATTGGCCAAAGTTAGAGGACACGGCCGTCTGGACACCCAGTGCAATATTTCACAGAGACCGCCTTCTGTTATATTACAGCCCACAACTTCAAAACACAATGTTTAGGCTATGTAGTGGCGTAAACTGTAGCTTATCCCAAAACGCCTCGTTAATTTTCTGTGATTAAAATTATCCTAATTATTGAACCTTGACGATGCCTTCTGTGATCATGAACATCGGACACCCTGCTGGAACTTCAATCTCTAATCTATCATCATCATCATCATCAACAACATCATCATCATCATCAACATCACATCATTATTATTATTAAACCATTACCATCAGTATAGTTCAGTTAACGTTATTATCATTATTTTAGTATTATATTTAATATGGAATAATCCATATTAATATAATGTATATTTTTTCGAATTTTATTTTTCAAACTCTTTTGGTACTTTATTAAAATACGCCTCAAAATTATTTCGTGTATCTTAACGATACTAAACACATCTATACAGCACAAATATATTACATGTAAATGTATTTTTACTTCAAAAAGTTGACAGCCATAATTCATCGACTAAACCACTCCCTCAATGTAAAACCTCTAAATGCATTACAAAGCTTGTTTACTCTCGGCTCATGTCGGTTTAACAGACCCAAAAAATCCGATTTAATAAACCGTGATCAAAACATTGGAAAATAACTATTAAGCGTGGAAGGCGATCTCTGCTAGAATTCAATATCCTTAGCAATTCACACTGAGCGTCTTTTTCATCTAAATGTGTCGATTTCTAAATTGCCTCCAAGGAATGCCCGCGCATCCTGATGAAGTACGCGCGTTTCTGTTCCACATCCGGACCCCGGAACTTCAGGATTTCAGACGAACACGTAACAATAAGGCAACCGCAATTAGGGGATGTGTTTTCTATTCAAAGACTGCCGTTTTTTTCCTGTATTAAATCCAAATATCATTGTGAAGGACAATTAGAGAATCATGAGCAATAGGCTAACGATCTAATGTCAGCGAGCAAGCTGCGACTCCATTCATGAGAGTCACAGAAGCTCCATACAGCTCCTTCACATAATCACCATAGGAAAGGCTGCGGCCATTGTCAGCTCCACACATCCTCTTCAGATAATGACTGAAGGAAACACACCGGCCATTGTCTGATGGTAATTGTCCTCGATGAAAAAACTAGAGAAAATTAACATCTGTTCCTTTGGAAATAAGACCCGAATTTAGTTTTATTTAGTCACGTCAACCGTTCGACTCTTGGTCGTTTTGACGGAGCCTGCAAATGAAGAAAACTCAATTACCCTAGGGCTAACGAGGGAGGAACGCGTGACAGCGGCGTTGACGTGAAATAGATTTCAATATGGCTGCAAGTGTCTTTATATCGACCGTAGGGTATGTTTGTGTATCTATCTGTTTCCAACGTTGTAGTAGGACCGAAGGGCCAGAAGCAGGTTAATGAGCGATTTCATCACGAGACAGGCGAAAGCTAATTTGAACAATATCAAGGGCTGTGATCGAACTCGGCCAGACAGATCGATAATACTAGGTGATCAGAGATCAGGGCGCTTGGAGGGGGGTGATTAGAGAAGAGCTGGTTAAATATCACGACCATAATCTTTACATCTGTAATATCAACGTTGCCATCGTCATAATTACCATCATCAATACAATTATCCGTATTATTTTATTATGTTCAGCTAATTATGAAGCAAGATAACAATAACGGTGAGGTGAAATGTGTTTTAACAATCACGTTCAAGATTATTGCACTTTTATAGCGACGTGCATGCTGGTGTGTGTGGCTACGTGTGAGTATAAACACACATGCAGCTTACTTCGTTCACTTATCATCGCGATCTTTCATGATTCTGTTTCAAGAAGCGAGGTCTGCAGTCCGGACTTATGCCTATTTTATAGTGCTAGCCCCCTAAGATACAATACCGTAGTTAATCATGAGTGAGTGAGTGAGTATGATTTTAAGCCGCATTTAGCAATATTCCAGCAATATCACGGCGGGGGACACCAGAAATGGGCTTCACACATTGTACCCATGTCGGGAATCGAACCCGGGTCTTCGGCGTGACGAGCGAACGCTTTAACCACTAGGCTACCCGACCGCCCAGTTATTCATGAGCTCCAGGCATGGTAAAACAAGTACCATCTTTGGTACGACGCGACCAGGGGATCGAACCACTGACCCGGTGCCCGGGTAGACGTTCTTTCCACTAGGCCACGGACGCGGTGCGCACAACATTGAAAGAGATTCGGCGTGTTGCAGTCAACTCTATAATAGCTAATATTAATAGAGTAATACAAATTGAGTTCCATTTTAAAATATATTATAAAATATTAAAACATAAATAAACTGATGAACAAAATAAGTTTTAAAATCTTAATTGCTATCATGTAATATAGGAATACTCAGTGATGCAGCAGGATAATATAAAATTTATATATGAAAAATGAATATACTTGAGTTTAGCGTTTAAAAAAGTATTTACGACCGCAAACTACAGGTATTAACTGTCAACACGAGGCGTTGTTCTATTGGGTCGCAACTGCAAGACTTACATATAGACGATGCGACGTTAAGTCCCCCCCCCCTTCAAAGAATATGAATAATAAACATATTTTCTAAAACAATAACAGAGTATACAGTGATGCTGAACGATGGATGAAGCAGCCATGATTATAAATAATATTGTTTAATGTGAAGGCAGCATTATGGCATGAACATATATCCATAACTTGCTCTAGGAATATAGTAATAATATTAAAGAATGAAGATGGCTTCTCACCTACTGAGGGGATGTGTCGTATTTACATACATATTTGAAACATGTTTAGTTAGGAATATAAAAACGTTGGGTACATATGGTCAAAAGTAAGAAAACAGACCTTTCAACAAACTTAAACCTTGCCCCCCATAATTAGTTCATGTTGTGTTGCAGAGAGGAGCTGGCGATGAGGATAGATCTGACAGAAGCAAGAGTTCAGGTGAGTCTGCGTTCCTATAGGTGTACTGTCAATATTCAAACTTTGCCCGTCAATGCACACCATACAGCTGTCAATAGACACCATCTACCTGTCAATAACCAACCGATGCCCACAACACCCCAACAATAACCTTCTATACCCAACATATACCAACTAGTTCCAATCAAATGCCCATCCGTCGCCGGATACCTACAGCTTCACGACATAAACTTACTCTACAGCTTCACAACATAATCTTACTCTACAGCTTCAATACACAAACTTACTCTACAGCTTCACCACATAAACTTACTCTACAGCTTCTCTACATGAACTTACTCTACAGCTTCACCACATAAATTTACTCTACAGCTTCACTACATAAACTTACTCTACAGCTTCTCTACATGAACTTACTCTACAGCCTCACCACATAAACTTACTCTACAGCTTCTCAACATAAACTTACTCTACAGCTTCACTTCATAAACTTACTCTACAGCTTCACTTCATAAACGTACTCTACAGCTTCACTACATAAACTTTCTCTACAGCTTCACAACATAAACTAACTCTGCAGCTTCACTACATAAACTTACTCTACAGCTTCACCACATAAACGTACTCTACAGCTTCACCACATAAACTTACTCTACAGCTTCACTACATAAACTTACTCTACAGCTTCACCACATAAACATACTCTACAGCTTCACTACATAAATTTACTCTACAGCTTCACTACATAAACTTACTCTACAGCTTCACAACATAAGCTTACTCTACAGCTTCACAACATAAACTTACTCTACAGCTTCACAACATAAACTTACTCTACAGCTTCACTACATAAACATACTCTACAGCTTCACTTCATAAACTTACTCTACAGCTTCACAACATAAACGTACTCTACAGCTTCACTACATAAACTTTCTCTACAGCTTCACAACATAAACTTACTCTGCAGCTTCACTACATAAACTTACTCTACAGCTTCACCACATACACGTACTCTACAGCTTAACCACATAAACTTACTCTACAGCTTCACTACATAAACTTTCTCTACAGCTTCACAACATAAACTTACCCTGCAGCTTCACCACATAAACGTACTCTACAGCTTCACTACATAAACATACTCTACAGCTTCACCACATAGACATACTCTACAGCTTCTCTACATAAACTTACTCTACAGCTTCACAACATAAACTTACTCTACAGCTTCACCACATAACCTTACTCTACAGCCTCACCACATAAACTTACTCTACAGCTTCACCACATAAACGTACTCTACAGCTTCACAACATAAACATACTCTACAGCTTCACCACATAAACGTACTCTACAGCTTCACCACATAAACTTACTCTACAGCTTCACCACATAAACGTACTCTACAGCTTCACAACATAAACTTACTCTACAGCTTCACAACATAAACTTACCCTACAGCTTTACAACATAAACTTACTCTACAGCTTCTCTACATGAACTTACTCTACAGCTTCACAACATAAACTTAACTTTTAACAGTACGTTAAAAGAAAAACTGAATCTGAAGGGTCTCAAATTGAAGAATCTAGGTTTGGTGCCGTGCCGTGCTGTATATCACATCTTGAACTTTATGTTTGATATTCACATGCTTACTCCTTTCGCGAACACCTTGTGTCATCACTGATTTTCAGTGATCCATCCATATATTTTTCACCGCTATTTTGCCTTTTACGCCCAGTGGAATCCTTTTCGGAAGAAAATCGAAACTGATTGTTCTCTGGCGTTGACATTGAATACATGCGCGTCTATTTCCTTATATAATGTTTCTATGGCAACTACATTCCGGAATCCGGGATAACTGAAATCCAGATTAGACAACACAATATAGTTGTACGTGATAATTATTTAACGTATGGAAATGGATAGCATAAATTCCGTCCGGTATCTGGGTGAAATAGGGTAAGACTGATTCCAATTTGTACTACTCAAAAGAAGTTAAGGACCGCCCGGATCTTTCGTATTACTATAATGAATCATGACATGACAGTACAATAGTGGTATAGATAAAACATTAAGATTGATTTTTTGCATAAAATAAAGCAAGTAGGTTTGGTATCTTTAGTGTGAAATTTGATTCATATAATTTCTGTTGTTTGGGATTGTTTTTATTTCTAAACTCATTTTCAAGGAAGCATGACTTAAGCGTAGAGTGAGCACACCTTGAAATAACACAACTGGGCACCTGTCTACAAACAACATCATCTGTGAGGTCTTTCACTATGTGTTTAACGTGAAAAAACGAACAAACACAATTATCTTAATACCATGTTGATCAGGGACATAGTGGGGTTGGGACGTTTTGTTAAACCTAAACGTCAGCTTGAAGATGTTTTGTGTCATTCTTGACTTCTAAAGGTATCTCCCCTTGACCTATTATACAACGACTTCAGTGTCGGAATATCGCATGCAGGAATTCAATCTTTCAATTAAAACCTTAAAAGGTTGGTTTAAAATCCAAACACGGAACACAAATCAATTACAACGACACGGAGAAAAATGAACACTCTTGTTCTTTCACGCAAGGAGCAAGCAGGTGTGATAGGCAAACAAGAGGAGAAATGGCGGGGAAATAGGGCGTGGTAAATCGCCCGCAGCACAAACATCAAGCCGACCTTGATGTCGTTTGACTTTTAGTGCGATAGAAATTCCATTGAGTACGTAGAACTACACGTACACAAGCAACGTTAATTTACTTACCGTCTCCTGATACTCCGAAGTAAGGAAAGATGATTTTCGCCGTACTTTAGTAGTGAGGCTCCACTGCGTATGCAGGGAGGTATTTGTTACTGCAACGTTTCGCAACAAAAAGGGTAAATAATATTTATCCCAAAATTAAAGCTATGGTCAGGATATTTTATGGACACAAAGATTTTACTTCAAAAGTTACTTCGATTTTCTTTCCGGCTGAAATCGAAAAGTCTTGTGAAAAATACACAATTATCGATAATGCGTTAAATGTATGGACACCTCACCTAATTTCGAATATTTTTATTGACACATGTGAATTTTAATTTATCACCCAACAGTCTAATAAAAATTGAAAACCCCTCAGCAAACATAGGCGTTTTAAGCATTTATGGGGGCTTGTTGGTATATATAATATCAATAGACACTCGGGTGAAATTCTTTATGTATTATCCAATAATGGCTCACACAGGAAATATGTCATTTTTAATATTTATTGCGAAGTGCCTGTATAATGTAAAGGTAGTCCTCAAATTATTACATTGTTATTGTACTCAATGAAGAAGACATATTGGATAATAAATAAATTATTACCCATAAGTATATGTTGATGTAAAACATAGATTCATCGATAAAAGTTTTTGTTTGTTTGTTCAACGCCACACTCAGGAATAATCCTGCTTTATGACGGCGGTCTGTAAATAATTGAGCCTGGACCAGACAATTCAGTGATTGTTCCCATCGATCATTGAGTATCGATCTACTCAATTAGGATACGATGACATGCATCAACCAGGTCAGCGAGCCTGACCACCCCATCCCGTTAGTCGCCTTTTACAAGCATAGTCGTCTCTTACGGCAAGCATTGGTTGATGAAGACCTTTTCTCTTCATGCATCTTCACAGGTCTATCCATTAAAGTTGAAAACATCCCCCACGAGCCTCGGAGTTTGCTTCTTTAATCATTTTTTCATACATTTGACTTCAAAAGACGCTAGGTGAGATTCTGTACATTGGTCGAATTCGAATGTTATACAGTTAAACGAATACGATGCGGAAGCAGTGAACATAATACTGATGACACGAACCTTTTAAAAGAAAACAACTTCTTACTTGTTTGTCAAGACGTTTAAGGGTATTCTTGCATCTCCATCAGGGGAATATTTGTCACGATGTTAAAGAGATACTTCTTGCATCCTCATCGAGGGAATATTTGTCACGATGTTTAAAGGTACTTCTTGCATCTTCATCGAGGGAATATTTGTCAAGACGTTTAAGAGATACTTCTTGCATCTCCATCAGGGGAATATTTGTCACGACGTTAAAGAGATACTTCTTGCATCCTCATCGAGGGAATATTTGTCACGATGTTTAAAGGTACTTCTTGCATCATCATCGGGGGAATATTTGTCACGATGTTTAAAGGTACTTCTTGCATCCTCATCGGGGGAATATTTGTCACGATGTTTAAAGGTACTTCTTGCATCTTCATCGAGGGAATATTTGTCAAGACGTTTAAGAGATACTTCTTGCATCTCCATCAGGGGAATATTTGTCACGACGTTAAAGAGATACTTCTTGCATCCTCATCGGGGGAATATTTGTCACGATGTTTAAAGGTACTTCTTGCATCCTCATCGGGGGAATATTTGTCACGATGTTTAAAGGTACTTCTTGCATCCTCATCGAGGGAATATTTGTAACGATGTTTAAGGGTACTTCTTGTGTTTTCAAAAGACGACCGATAAATGTTGATCAATATTTCTTCGCCTCATTTTACAACAACATAAACACAAATCAAAGTCTTCATCGTGTTGATATCCATAGTCATCCGAGGCGACAAGTAAAAGGACATTTTAAAGGTCAGAGGTTACAAATAAATCGTAAGTTGCAGCACACGCCATTTTAAAATATTTGCCTTATAATCCCTATCGGCATCTGGTACATTCAGGATGTGGCTATTTTTTAAAGTGGTGACATAGCTTCAGAAAAAAAACACCTTGAACAGATTATAATTCAGGAGGACTTGCCCAGCATCTTCAACTATCCTTACATCCTGTTTGTCCTCTAATTAGTGAACTGTACTTTATTATTGCCAACACGGCTACCTGCCAATGGAAGCTATTACCACGACCTTTCGCTATGTAATTACAAGGAAGCAGTTTGAATGCTTGCTATTTTCGGAGGACAATTTCGAAGTAGAATTTGATGTAACGGGTGGAATCAAGAGTGTTTTGTTTTGGCCTTTACCTAAGTTGTCCCACGCACGCG